TTTGAAAATATTAAATCATCTGGAAATAAAATTCTGATTTAATTCCCTCACTCCTTTTTTACCCCCCACCAGCCCATTTATCCACTATTTAAATAACAATCCATACAAAAAATCAATAATTGTTTAATCAAACAGCCAAATTATTGAAAAAATCCCATCTCTTCTAAAAATCTGTAAGAAAAATTTCTCAATGTTTTTGGGTAGATAGAAAAGTCAATTAGTTTATTTATAAGATTATTTACATAAACGATATTTTTTTTCCTAGGGATATCTTCAATCTGGATAATTCGAAGTGTTAGAAAAATTGGGAAAAATTCATAAATAAATTGAAATGTTTGCCAATAAAGAAAAATCTATTTAAAAAATATTCCAAGTGTGTCAGTATCAAAGTACAAAATCCTCCCTTTCCTCCAGAGCCTTGACAATTAAAATAAATCAATCGAATTTGAGCTCTCTCTTACACATGGGGCACTTGTCGCTGGTTTTGAGGCACTGCCTCAGGCAATCAGCATGAAATAAATGATGACAGGGTGTGATCCTTGCCTTGATCATCGTGAAGAGACAGACAGGGCAGACATCATCGAATTTTTCAATCTCCTCAGGTGTAGCTTTTCTGTATCTATTGAGAATTTGTCTCTCTGCCCACAGGACAGCCCCCGAATTCTTCACTAATTCCTTCGTCCTGAGGAATATATTCAGGTAAATGGCGACCAGGAGGAATCTCCAGGTGGCTGTCGGCAGGAGAATAACGGTGAACAGAGTTGACATGGAAATGGTCAACAGTCGGAGGATCACTGGTGCGTATAGGGCCTCCAGGTTCTCCAGAGCTTCCAGCTGGAGAAAATTCAAAATACCTGGAAACATGTCGACGAAGACTTTTTCGGTTGCTGAATAATATCCCCAGGTGATGATCGTGTACATCGTTGACGGTCTGAAAAATTAATTGATTATTTGAAAAACGTTCTTAAATAATTCTAATGGAATTATTTCCCGGGAATCATTATAAATAAAATAGAAGATGATAAATAAATGGGATAAACAATCTTTTTCGTTGCGTCTCGTAAGAACTGAAGATTATTATTTACTTGTAATTCTGCAATCCTTGCTCCAATCCAAAGACCAGCAACATAAATGTCACGGTGACGGCGAAAGTAACAGCTTTGGTCCATTCAAGGACAATTTTAGTAGCGGACATCGCTAAATGTTTGATCCTGGATCTCTCAGTTAGGGTGACGTAAGGGGTCCAGTCCTCTTTCTCCACCAGCTCCTTGATGTACCCCACGCAGTAGGCGATCACATTGTAGAACATCAGACTGTACAGGCACGTCATCCTCTGCTGCGGAGGCACCAAGACCTTGTCAGCCAGCACCAGGAAGACCAGTTGGTTCACCATCAAGGAGATGTTCTTCATCTTGAGGAAGAGGTTCTCAGCTCTGTCTATCGGACCGTACAGACGTCTCAAGACATTTCTCAGAGGTCTCCATGCTTTTTTGGCAACAGCTGGAAGTCATTCGAGTTATTAGTGCCGGAAATATTGACAAATTATTCAGAAAATCATTTATAAGTCATCACGAAAGCCGGCTGATTCATTTTCATTCACAATATCCGGCAAAATGAAATCCACTGCAGAAAAATAAAAAGACGAAATGATTAATGATATTATCAATTTTCTCAAGAAGTCTTCATCACTTGATTCATTGAAATCCACAAAATATCCAGCAAAATCAAGTTCTTTGATAATAAAATAAAGAAAAATCATATCAACAGCTCCGATAACTGGAAGAGAAGCAGACTCCCATGATATCCCGAGGTATCGAAGAAATCCAAACGATTTGAATAATAAACCGTTGAAGTGGTACAATAATAAATTCAAGTGCTTGAAGTAGGCGGTATAATAACACATTACCAAGCACTTCACTTGATACAGAGTCCGATAGGTGATAATTTGAGATCGTTGATCCAGCGTTCAACTGGAGCTTTGAAGCTTCAAAAGACCCACGAAAATGATAAATTTATCCTTCTGCCTCTATTCTTTTTTCACTCCCACGTAGGAGACATTAATTAGAATAATGCAGAGCCACCGATGGATTGCCTATCATTTTCGCCTGATGCCGAAGGTATTGGAGATGATTGGAGATGGACATTAGCATATTAATGGGAGATGGACGGAAGGGACAGGTCACATCAAATAAGGGGAATGAGAAAAATTTTTTTATCAACGAGGTGGCAACCTCAGGAGTATAAAACAGCTGGGGCCATGGAGATCGACAGCATTTCACCACTGGAATCGCTCATCCTCGAATCTTCAGGATCAAGGTAACGCATTTTAATTATATTTATTACAAAGGATTTATTATTA